AGTGATGTTGTTGGTGGGGTACCACAGTACAGGTTTGTACAAACTTTATTTTCTATAAACTAACAAAGTTGAGTTCAACAGAGACGTCATTGTACAGGAATCAGATGTTTGGAATTGGGAAAAGTCTCGTCCTGACTCTGATGAGAGAACTTCTGAAGAAAAGTAAGAAATACATGTTTCTGAAGCTAGTAATGACTCTAACTCTGAAGAAGATATAGAAGGAGAAGATGATTCTGACTATGACTCCGATGGTGATCCAGACTCTGAAGACAGCCAAGGTTCTGGAGAAAGTCTAATTTCTGAAGCAAGTGCTTCTGAAGGGGAAAGTTCTGGTGTCCAAAGTTCTGAAGGTCCAGTTCAGAGGCAACAAAGAGTCAGAAGTATCCCAAGAAGATTTGCAGAGTTTGACATGTTGCAAGACACTGAAGTAGACTCTGAAGGAGAAATTATTCAGTGTGCAATGTTAGTAGACTCTGAACCCGTGAGTATGAAAGAGGCTCTTAAGTAGTAAGTCTGGTTGTAGGCCACGAGCGAAGAACTTGATGCTATAGAGAGAAACAAGACATGGAAGCTGACTGAAATTTCAAAAGGCAAGAAAGCCATCAACGTTAGATGTGTTTTCAAGCAGAAGCTAAAGCCATATGGATCAATTGGAAACCACAAAGCGAGATTAGTATCAAGAGGCTTTATACAGAAGCCTGGGCTGGATTACTTTGAAGTGTTTGCACCTGTAGCGAGACATGAAACAATCAGACTTGTGATTGCAATAGTTGTTAACAGGAATTGGCCTATGATGCATTTAGATGTAAAATATGCATTTCTGAATGGTCCATTACAAGAAGAGATTTACGTTTCATAACCTCCTGTATTTGAGAAAAAGAATCAGAAAGGGATGGTGTTCAAATTACACAAAGCATTGTATGGATTGAAGCAAGCGCCCAGAGCTTGGAATTTGAAGATTGATTCATTTTTCAAGGAACAAAGGTTTCAGAAGTGTCAGATAGAGTATGGCGTTTATGTTCAGCACACTTCAAAAGGTAATATGATTCTGATATGTTTGTATGTTGATGACATATTACTCACAGGAAGTTATGAACAAGAGATAGCTGAGTTCAAGAAAGTTCTGATGAATGCGTTCGAGATGACAGATCTTGGGAAAATGAGTTTCTTTCTAGGGATGGAATTTATGTACTATGAGAAAGGAATCATTTTGCATCAGATGAAGTATGAACTAGAGCTTCTGAAGAGATTTGAGCTAGAAAATTGAAAAATTGCTACCACACCTGCTAATACAAACCAGAAGTTGGACTTTAATTCTGATGGAGAGGGTGTGGATGCTACAACCTTCAAACAAATGGTTAGTTCTCTAAGGTATTTGTGTAATACCAGACCTGATATTTTCTATGCAGTTGGAATGGTTACCAAATTTATGAGTAAATCAAAGTGGTCTCATTACCGAGCTGCAGTCAGGATTCTGAGGTATGTGAAGGGAACTCTGAAATATGGAGTGTTATTTTTGTATGAAAGAAAAATTGAATAAGAACTTCTGAGTTATTCTAATTCTGATTGGTACGGAGATAGAGTTGACAGAAGAAGTACTTCTGGGTACTTATTCAAATTTCCAGGAGGTCCTGTTTTTTTGGTGTTCTAAGAAGCAACCCGTTGTTGCTCTGTCAACTTGTGAAGTTGAATATATTGCAGGCGCTCTGACCGTGTGTCAAGCTGTGTGGATTCTGAACTTGCTGAAAGATCTGAAGATTTAGTTAAATAAACCTCTGAAGCTGATGATTGATAACAAGCCTGCAATCAATTTTGCCAAGAATCAAGTGTTGTATAAGAGAAACAAGCATATTGAGACTAAGTATCATTTTCTGAGGAATCAAGTTCAGAATAGAATATTAGAAGTTGTGCACTGTAGCACCCAGAAGCAGCTGGCAGATGTTCTGACAAAGGCTATCAAAACTTATCAATTTCTTGGTTTATGGGATGAAATTGGTGTTGTCAGTTTTGGGTAAATATAAATTAAGGGATGATGTTATAATTAATTTAGATTTTATAATTAATTAGATATTAATTTATATTTAGGAATATCTTTTAGATTATTATATCTTTGTTAGAAGATATATATCTTAGATCTTCTTATGTCTTTGTTAGAAGATATATTTTAGATTTAATTTTGTGTATAAATAACCTAATGGAGTAGGTCATTGTAATTCATTGTAAATCCTTATTTTGAAGCTGTCAATAAATATTTTTTTTGCCTTTTATCTTCATTGTGCACCAACAATAATTCGGTCACTAAAAACAAATATTCTAGTAATGTACTTTGAACACCTTTAAAAAATGTGACTGAGACAACATCGATGAAAATATAGAATATGAAGATAACAATTTTCAAAATAAAAATGATTTGATATTCCTTTCATATAATATTAAATTTTATGTTGATAGAATAATAAGAGTTATTATAATTCTAAATATATAGAGTAAAATTTTATGAAATTTTTTCAAAATTTAACAAATAAAAGAGTGAGTATTAAAAATAATGTGCAAGAGAATATATCGTAATACTCATTAAGAATTAATTTAAAATTCATCAAAATCTTTTAAATTTATTGATTTCTTTTAAATATTATAATATAATCTTTTGAAATCCAAAGGAATCTCCATAATCATAATCTTTTTAAATCTTCAAAGTTATGTAAATATTCAAATTTTAGAATCCTAATCCAAGATATAAACCTCTACACAAGATATAAGTTAAAGGAGAAACCCTAAATATCACCTAAACCTACTTTTTGTCTTCTTTGCTTACGGTGATCACAATTAGGGAACCAGATATGATGTCTTCTAGGCGTGCAATTCCAACTATGGACAGAATTAGTAAATTGCCAGATTCAATTCTATGTCAAATTCTCTCCCTACTCTCAACCAAGCTCGTTGCATCCACAAGTCTTCTCTCTAAGAGATGGAGACATGTATGGCTCTCGATTTTCACTCTAAACTTTAATGATGAAGCCTTCAAAAACTTTGAAACCTTTCAGAAATTTGTTTACTCAACCATGTTCTTGCTACGAGACAAAAAGAATTCAATTCATTCGTTTACTATGAAATTAGGTAACTCTTCTGGCTTCAACCAACAACAATTCAATAGAATTTTTAAATTTGTGATGCAATGAGGAGTCCGAAATATTGACTTTAACATGTCTGATAAAATGCGTGCTATCAGATTACCTCTTTGTATTCTCAATTTTAGGACACTTACCGTTCTTAAATTGGAAAACATTAAAATAAGGGATTCTGATCGAGTGGATTTTCCTCATCTCAAAACCCTTTATTTTGATAGAGTTTATTTTTCATCTTTGGACTATTTTGTGAAGTTTCTGAATGGTTGTCCTATTCTAGAAGATTTGAATACAAAATCAATTTTAATCTGGCATCTGACTTTACATCTTCCCACCGAAAACTTGAACTCTTTACCTAATTTGGTCAAAGCAAGTATTTGTTATGATATGCACAATTTGATGACTTTGGTTTCTAAGGCCAAGATTTTGCATTTAGAAAAGGTTTGAACATTATCCTTTGCATTTTTATTGCATTTTTGCCCTTTGCATTGAGAAATTAACTATTTTATTTTATTTTTCATTGGGTGCAACTCATGCAGTGGAGAGTGACAGGGACAACACTTCCCATGTTTCAGAATTTGACTCACTTAAAAATTTGTTTTAATTCCATCATATGGATTATGGAATGCAAGCCCTTGATAGGGATATTTTCACATTTTCCAAATCTTCAACATTTTAACATCGAGGTATGTTGATGTTTATTAATATAATTTCCCTTTTTCTATTATTATAATTTCATGCATTTTAGTTCTTATTTTTTTAAAATATTGACAGAATTATTGGGATGCAACAAATGGAATAAATAGTTGTTGTACATGTTTGAAGGATGATCCTAGTCCAACCATTGTTCCGGAATGTCTTTGGTTACAACTTAAAACATTTAGCATTAAAGGTTATGCAGGCAGACAATGTGAGTTCAAATTAGTAGAATATATTATGCAGCACTCAAAAGTACTTGAGACAATGATAATTAAGAGAACCCACCTTAAAGAGTGTAACAAATATAAAATGTTACTGAAATTATCTTCATGTTCAAGAGGCTCTCCAACATGTAAACTTATATTTGATTGAAGGTGACAATTACATTGTGGTTTTTCTGTTTGAAGATTGTGTACTGGTTTTTTAGAAGAAGAAAAGAATGGTCAATAGAGTGGAGTAAACTACAAACCTAAATATTGTTTTAAGTATTATGTAACATACCTAAGAGACAATCATACAAAGTCAGCAGATATTCAACATCAGCCAACTAAGACAACTAAAACAATGCTATAGTATATAGATCAAATGTTAATATTTTGGTAGAAACTTGGATTTCTTTTAAGTTTCAAGTAATCAATTAAAACACATAATATACCATAGTAAATTTTTTTATCAGCATTCATAAAAAAGAGAACTTCAATAAATCAAGTATAACATCAAATATTCTTTCCATACCCACAATCCTGTCAAAAGCTCACATAATTTTTGATTAAAAAAATACGTTGAATTAGAGTTGAAAAAGAAAACAAATTGGAAACATCAAAACCCGAATGATAAAATGTGGGAGCATTTATGAGTAAAGGAATGAATTGAAATCTTTGTTTTCTCGCAAGTAAAGAAATTCGTGAAAGCTTGTGAAGTATATGAAGCATACATGGTTGTAATCGAGAGCTAGAATGGTTTCCATCTCTTTGAGAGAAAAGTGAGAATGTAGCGCAGAATTGAGTCCGACAATTCACTGAATCTGTCCAATTTAGGGACTGATACTGTCAAATTCACCATCATACATACATCATAGTACGTACAATCAGCATGCCCACAATAAGAATTTATATTCCGGGATTTAACAAATAGGCTTGACAAACACCATGCCCACAATAATACGTACAATCAGCATTACTGTTGTGCCTGTCTTGCTAATTTGCCCAACCTATACCGAGAAAAAGAAGCAAAGAAAGATATCAAGCTAATCTCTTCGTGTTACGTACATAGCAGAAAATTTGATGCCTTCAAACACCATGGTCATTGATTTAACCACCTTGACCTAAATCAGGTTCTTGATATTCCATTACAGTCTTATTCTATTTTATGAATAGTTTCTCAAAAAGACAAATGAATGTACTACTAAGAATATTATTCTTCAATAAAAAACATAATTCCTCAATAGAGATACATATACTCTCAGTGATGCATACAGATAAACTTGTTTACAAACTGAAAAAGAATAATAAACTTCCATCATAGATTAGCAACTGTAATGAACCCAATTAAAAGTATTGCAATGAAAATTAGTGTTTTATTGAATTTGTAGGGCATGTATGTAGCAGCTGTAAATCATTGACATTTACTACGCTAAAAATAAGTTACCTTTAAAAGCGCTTTCTAAGGTGGCGCTGCTATAGGTTTTAGCAACGCTTTTTGTTTAATGAAAAGCGCTTTCGTAGGTCTACTTAATACAACACTTTTTCTAAAAAGCGCTCTCTTAAGTAGGCTTTTGGCAGCACTTTTTTATGAAGAAGCGCTTTCATAGGTCTACCTAAGGCAGTGCTTTTTTCTGGAAAAACGCTCTCATAAGTTTTCTTTTAGCAGCGCTTTTTTCTGGAAAAGCGTTGTCTTAGGTAGGCTTTTAGCAACACTTTTTTCTGGAACAATCAACAAACACTGTTGGGATCTAAAACAAATAGAATCAATTTTTTTTACAAATGAATCTCAGAATGTATAGAAAATAAATCAAATCTTACAGAACAAATAAAATAAAATCAATACATTATAGAATCGAATCAATTACAAACGATTTCAACCCCTAATTTTCCTAATCACTCTAAATCTAAGCTCTAATCAAACTTGTAACGATGTTTTGCAAAATCTGAAACCCTAAGCCCTATAAATAGCTAAAGAAGAATACAGAAAAGGGGGAAAGATCTGAAGACGGAGCAGAAAAGAAGAAAAAACTTAGAGGAATACGGAGCCTTGCTGTTGAAAAGGAGAAAATATGATTTAGGGTTTCAATATTTAAAACCCTAAATCGCGCCGCCGTCAACCTCCCTTAAACGCATCTCCGATCCGCCGTTACATCACCTTCGAAGGCCATCACCTCCCATGACCTGAAAATCGAAAAGAAAGAAGAAGATAAGAACCAGAAACATAACATATCAGAACAATCACGATCAGAGGTAAACGAAACTTAGCTTTTTGATTTCTGCGTTTTGATTTCTGCCTCTCAACTCATTCAAAATATCAAACCAACTCCATTTGCAAAGGAAAAATATCTTATAAATGGGAGACACGTTTATGATGTCATCAATATCACAAATGGACGTCCATGGGTTACCTGCAATGATGCATCGATTTACAAATAAAGTTAGCCACAACTCTCAACCACGTCACTCAAAGTTAACATATTCAGCCTCAAATTTCTCTCATGTTCTGATGCATAACATGTGTGCACATAGTAATCAAAGAAAAACATAATACCTTGGTTTATTCCAGTTAGCCATCTTATTTCGGTTAGCACCTCCATAATGCAGAGGAGCAGCAACAACCCTACGCGCAACCTCTGTTGCAAGGGGAAATTGGTTTCCCTGGAAATTTGACCTTCTTTTTGCAAGAACTCCCTAAGAACCGCAAGTGAACGAGTTAATATCGGAAATATGTACAAAAATGTAAACATAATATGACTGTGGTGCTTCATACACATACTTGTCTAAGAGAAGATCTCGACTCCATGTACCGGCGCGCCTTAAAAGATCTATCTTGTGCAAAACTGTTTGTAAATTTTTTGCTCTTGTTCTGCATAGACATGAATGTGAATCAATCAAGCAAAACAATAACTATGAAGTACCATGAACAAACAAATAAGCAAAGAAATATTCAAAAGCAAAAACACTTACCGAAACCCTAGTTTGCTTTGTTGTAAATTTAGGGTTTTTAGACATTTTGATTATGTCATCTGTGAACAACACCAACATTAAATATATCAAAAACAATAAAAAGGATGTTATACAAAAAGGTTATGATGAATGTGATATAACAAAAAAAACATACCTAGTGTCATGTCCATCTTCTTCTCTGTAAGAGCAACAAGCTCGGTGATAAGTGGTTTAGCTACCATCTGAAACAAAAGCATGAACAAATATCAATTAAAAATCAGCAACCATATTCAGCACGAATTGAAGGCAAAAATTGATGTAATATGAAGAATCACGGTGCGTAAAGACTTTATTCTAGGGTTTGAGACGACGAATTTGATGAAACATGAGGGTTTGTAAGATAAGAATAAAGACAGAAAGAGGTAGCGAGAAAGAGATGAATTGAAGGAGAGAACTTAGGACGGCGGAGAAATCAAACAAACAATCGCGATCAGAGGTTAAGTTTTGAGTTTATAGTCGGGGGAAGGATCGGGTTTGAGCGCCGCTGCGGGGTTGGTTTTAGGGTTTGATGTTAGATGATAAAGGAAGAAGGTGGAGTAGAGAGAGAGAGAGAGAGAGAGAACGATAATGGTTAATGAACGAATGAACAAAAATGAAAATATAAAATGTATAAAACTACCTACAAAAGCTCTTTCTAAAGGTCATCTATAAGCGCTTTCGTAGCATATCCTATAGCAGCGCTTTTAAAAGCGCTTTCTAAAGGCCAGCTTTAGCAGCGCTTTGGAAAAGCGCTTTCTAAGGCTGACCTTTAGCAGCGCTTTTGAAAAGCGCTTTCTTAAGGTACCCTCTGAAAGGCCAGCTTTAGCAGCGCTTCCCAAAAAGCGCTTTCTAAGGGTGACCTTTAGAAGCGCTTTTGAAAAGCGCTTTCTTAAGGCACCCTTTGAAAGTACTTTTTTAAGCGAATTTTTTTTAAAACCTACAACAACGCTTTTTTCCAAAAACGCTTTCTTTTATGTGCTGCTAAAACTTATTTTTGGCATAGTGATTAGATAGTCAATTGATAGCCTCTCTGCCCAAATAAAACCTTACTAACCTGACAATTTTGAATGAAAAGTTTTCTTAAAAGGCAACATCACTAATTTTGCTTGTAGTTAAAGATATCAATAATAAATGCTCCATGAATTTTAGTTCGAATGAAAAAAAACTAAATTTACTAATTAATGAATTTGAACACCTCTTGCTGAAAGGCAATACATGGAAGTGATTCAAGAGTTTAGATTCAAAAAGACATAGCATACAACAGCTATGAAAATCCATATAAATAGTTTCAAGCAAGCAAGCCCTTTTGGCCTATTAGTTCATAAAAGATTTCAAAATGACTGACCATTTGATAAAATGCTCAACAACATAGAACCATCCGCACCTCAAACAAAATGTGCCACACAATAAATAAAATATTCAAGCTGAATCAAAGTGAGGCATACAACACACAAAACCATCCAAGCATAACCTAAAGTTGGAAAAGAAAGAGATTCGAGACTCTTAGAAGTGTACGAACATGCTTCCTTCCCTTATGTTACACTTCATCTTACGTAAACACCAATTATAGTTCATGGTTTACCTAAAAAGTAAAATTTAATAGGCACAATAAATGTTCATACACCAAAACACACCTCTATCTAACCAACCACAAAATCAAACACTTTCAAGTTTCAAGCAATCAACAATAAAAATATATCATCCTTGTTATAGATTTTAACCGTATTCATAGAATGAACAACCAAACTACACCTTACAATAAAACAAAAAGTAGAACTTTGATTACATGGATTGGTTTCCTTACACTAGGAAAAGGAATATGATATCACTCCCAAAATAAATTTTCATGAAAAACCACTAACATTCTTCCAAAAAAATACCACAACATAGTTGTCATCATCATCAACCAAATAAAAGTTTAAATGTTATATAGCTCCTTGTGCATGATGATAACTTCATAAACATGATTGAATAAACAAACTTGCTAAATGTCTCAAAGTCATTGAAGGCTTGTCATAGAAGTTGAGAGTAAACACAGATAGCCACACTGGTTTCCATCTCTTTGAGAGAACACTTGTGGCTGCAGAGAATTTGGTTGGAAGGAAAGAGAGAATGTGACACATAATTGACTCCGGCAAGTTGCTAACTCTATATACCGTTGGAATTGAACGGCACATCATATCTAACCGAAAGAATGGTACACAACTATCAGCATAGTAGCGGCAATATATAGGGTTTTCTATTGTAATTCGTATCAGATCACAAAACCACTTAGGGTTTGGGCTACAACTCGTTTTGAGAAAAGAAGAGAACGGCGGAAGCAGTTGCTTTCCATTGATTATTATTTTTTCTAATTATGACTATATCCTTAATATGTTATACTCAAATTTAAATAGAATGTTATAATAAATACGAAATTTTCTTATTCATATAAGTCGTTTATAAATATTTTTTCACCATCAATCTAAAACTTCACTCGAATTTTTATTTTTTTTGCATTTGAACAAAATGTGTAATTTAAATTTTTTTTTTAAATTTAATTACGAATTTTATTTGAATTAACTCTGAAACAAGCAACATTGATAAACTTTTTGATGAAATTTTGTTCCATCTATTATGGTTCTCCATGTTAATGTTTGAGGCACTTTGAGTGAGAGAAAGAATGAAAGTGAAAATGAAATGTAATTGAGAATTGTTATTATTGAAAGTTGTAAAAACTTAATTATAAATATGTGTATACTAAATAATGACTAACATAACAAACCCTAACCTTAACTAATTTGGGTTTGAGCTACAACTTAGATTATATCACAACATACTCCCTTATAATCCAAGTTGCCAAACACAAACTAGCCGTAGTCGATATGAATTATTCCTAATTTCTCTCTCAAACGAAGAAATCTGTCGATCTTCAATCTTTTGGTGATTTTTTTTCAAATATGCTTCACTAGAGCAATGTCTTACTTCAAGTTCACCCTAGTTTACCTTAACCCTTAAGAAGTGAAACCTAGTATTAATGTGCTTACTCGTTCCATGTAGAACTTGATTCTTTGTAAGATTTATGATTGACTTGTTATCGATCTACAACACCAAAGGTTTCTTCACTCCGACCTTCATCATTTTCATCATATATCCAAGTCAAATTGCTTGACACACAACATTGGATCTTGCTATATATTCATCCTAACATGATAATGCCACCATATGTTGCTTTCTCGGGCACCATGATATTGGAGCACCAAATACTTGAAAGAAGTAACCAGTTGTGCTTCTTCAATCTTCCTTGTTTCCACACCAATCAGCATCTGAATCGAAAGTAATACTACTACAAATAAGAGAAAAGACATCGCATTTTTTGGCATAGACAACGCTTAAAAGCGCTGCCTATACTGGCGCTGCTGTAGATAAAAACAACACTTTTTTAAATGCAAACACGATGCCTTATGTCCCCTTTAGGCAGCGCTTCGTTTGAAAAGCGCTTTCTATTGACACCTTTAGGCAGCGCTTTTTCTTGAAAAGCGCTTTCTATTGTCCCCCTTTAGACATCGCTTTTAAAAGCGTTGTCTAATGTATCTTTTTGTTCTCTTTTAGGTCTCTTTTAGGCCGTGCTTTCTTTAAAAGCGCTTTCTATTCTTCACTATAGGAAACACTTTTGTTTACAAAGCGCTTTCTATTCTCCACTAAGGCAGCGTTTTTTTGTTAAAAGTGTTGTCTATTTTCTCATTTAGGAAGCATTTTTTTGTTAAAAGCGTTGGCTATTGTTCACGTATATGACAATGTTTTTTGGTTAAAACGTTGGAATATGTCTTATTTTTTAATAAATGGCATCATATATTTTTTAAAAACGCTGGCAGAACATGAAAATTCATATATATATATATATATATATATATATATATATATATATATATATATATATATATATATATATATATATATATATATATATATACCCAATTTGCATATTACCAATATATACAACAAATAATTTTTAATATATATTCCAACTTTGTATATTACCAATATATATCAACACTAACTAAAAAATTATGAACTCGTCTTCTGCACATATCAACAACTTTTAGTAACTTGTTATCTCTAATTCTACAACTTTGATCCGAAAAGCACGTCGCATCTCAAGTTCGAGGAGAATATCAGGCCAAGAAGGATAGCCTCGTCAAATATCTGAACCTCGTCGAAGCACATTTTCTCGATCCGAAAAGCAGCATTTCCCTCTGGTAACATCTCCTCGACCCAAAAGACACTCTCTTTTTCGAGCAACGTTTCCCCAATAATCCAGCAGACCTTAAGTTATCACTCTCTCGTCTAAGTGTAAAAATAGTGGAGGCTCCTGTTCTGGGCCGAGCTGACACTTGGCCCATAGATGGGAAGACCCAATACCAGCGCCTCTATCTATAGTCCAATAGCTTCAAGCCCAAGTCAAATAGTCGTTGGGGATTTCCCCCACATTCCCATTAGAGAACGTGTCCCTAGTCATCATCAACCACCACATGCCCTCAGAAAATAACGGGTTCAATGTCTCTATATTTTCGAGACGCTTTATTAGGGAGGAGACCACGTGCTGGATCCTATTATCAACGTGAACTCCGTTAGTCCTTGTTATTGGGCTATAAATACCCTCTCACATGAGAAGGTCAGGTATCCATCCATTCATTCGTTCATTACACCTCACCTACTTTACTTGCTCTCACTTTGAACCTCACTTTGGCATCGACGTGTCTTACAAATACCTCCCATTCCAAATTCAACCGCTGCTGAACTTGAAACTCTTGGATCTTGATGATCTCTTCTGATCAGGTACGATAAAAAACCAACAAAGTTTACTAAAATTTAAAATAACACAAAAAATGTGTATAAAATATTAAATAATAAATATTTTGTTGGTCCTTGAATCTATCTTCATCTCTTGTTGTGACCATCAACACCATCTCTTCTTCTTCTTCACGTTTTGTAAACTTTACATCACTTTCTTGACTCTTTCTCTTTTCTGAACAATCACTCGAATAGTGACCATACTTCTGACAATTGTAACATTTAATGTGACTCTTATCAGGTTTTCGACCACCACCTCTTCCTCTATTTGCAACACCACCTCTTTGGTTGCCTTGATATGGTCTTCCCTGATTCGAAACATTTCCTTCATTCTAGTTTCCTATACCAGTCAATTTGTTGTAACAGCCTC